AGGACTAGACCTGGACGCTGCAGTAAACACCTGACTCGACGCAGCGACCGGACCAGGCTCAGCAGCCGGAGGAGACTTATTAGTGAGGGTGTACAGGCTCGACCCCGGCCGACGGGTGAACGTGGCCAAGTGTCGGCTTGTCCGAGCACACGTGCAGTGGGTCACCTGCTGTCCCGCAGGAGTGAACTGGTCAGCCCCCCTGTCCTGTGGATCAGCTCCACTCACCAAGTTCGTAGAGAACGAGGGGAGGTAGAGACCTGACAGGGTGCTAGAGGGGGCTCTCGGACACGGTAAGACAGTGGAGAAGCGAGCAAGGTCAGGACCCCCAGAGGGGTCCGCTAGGGAGACTGCAACCGGCCGACAAAGCGGCGTAAGTGTGGTGCGGTCTCAAAAGAAGGAGCGGGAAGCACCCGAGTCAAGGGTGAAGGTGTGTAATGCCTCAGCCGACGTTGTACTTGAGAGGGCAGACTCACCAGCACCTGGGGCAGCAGACGCGCTAGCACCTAGAGCAGCAGCCTCACCAGCACCTACAGTAGCAGTCTCAATGCCCGGGTCAGGCGGAACACACAAGTAACAGTCACCCTCAACACTATCAGCAACAGCATACATGGCAGCAAGAATAGCATCAAAATCAAGATCAAAGATAGCAACCCCCGCCCTAGACAGCTCTCCCCAGCGAGGGATCTCAAAGGCCTCTGGGAACTTGTGCCGCCACGCGTCCGTCAGGCGGCTGAAGCAGCGCTGGGTGGAGCGCGGGCTCCGCACTGCTCTCCACCGCGGTCGCCGGTACGGAGAACGTAGGTGCAGGGACCAGTACCCCCACTGCGCTGACGCGCAGCGTACCACTCACGAAGCTGCTGAAGGGACAAGGTCTCGCGACTGCGCTGCTGTTGCTGGCGCGGACCACCATCGGAGCCACTCCTCTGTGCAGAGCCGCGACCAGGTCCACTGGTGCCGCCGCGGCCTCCGCCACCTCCGCCGCCTCCACCGCCTCCGCTCCCTCCGCCACCGCCGCCGCCTCCTCCGCCTCCACTGCTGCCACCGACACCTCCACCCCCGCCACAACTACCACCACCAACCCCACCCCCTCCACTGCCTCCACCACCACCTTTACCGCCCCCGCTAGCCCCTCCAGCGCCCTTGCCCCCCTTGCCCTTGCCGGTGCGGCGTCTCCCGCTCTGGGCAGACGCAGTACCGACCGACTCGAAACCAACGAGGTCGGCCGCAGCAGCAAAAGCAACAGAGGGCAAGAGGGGGGAGGGGGAACACCCCTCAAAGACGGGGGTGCGAGGGTCACCACGAGAGGCTCCTACAGTGATTATGCTCTTCTCTGCTGCTAGGAGGCGCTCCTCGAGGAGGTCGACGGTGAGTGTGGTGGGGCAAACTGAGAGGAAGTGGTCCCTGAGTAAGCGAAGGGAGTCAGGGAGACGGGTGACTATGTAGTAGAGGGTGATGTACATGGGGGGGGGGGTTCTTGGCACAGAACTCAGCGGGAAGCGCAGCGCGGTAGCGAATGTCACTAGTGCGATGGTGAGTGATAAGGTCAGGGACTGTGGGAAAAGCAGCAAGGTCAGGGAACAGGTACGGCAGCATGAGGAGGCTAAGAGCAGCAGTGGCAGGGGAGGAGTAGCGTGTAACTACAGCGTCGTACAAGGTCTTAGCACTCTTGTACTAGCTAAAGTGCGCACGCTCAGCGGTCGGTAAGTGGCGACGCACAGCAAGGCGAGCAGCAGCATCGCGTGTGGCCCACTGTGAGCGAATAGTGCTGTTAGCAGTAGCAGGTGGGGCGGGAGAAACACCAGAGGTGAGATCGAACAGAGAGAGTCCGTCTGCCCTATCGCACTGTAGAAACAGCTGGAGATCATCAACCCAGACCTCAAAGTCAACGGCACGGCCCTCAGCATCAAAGGTAAGGACACTGGGGGTAGCCATGACTGCAGTGGCCTAGTAGGGAATGATCTCACCAGTCCGAGTAAGTAGGGCCGGGGCGCACCAGCGGAACAGCATCGGCTAGACAGTAGGGCGTTCGGCGGCTCGGCTGCTGGGCAGCTCGGCTGCGAGGCGGGTCGACGGCTCGGCGGCTCGGTTGCTCACCGGCTCGGCTGCTGGGCGGCTCGGCTGCTGGGCGGCTCGTCTGCTCGGCGGCTGGGCGGCTCGGCTGCTGTGCGGCTCAGCTGCTGGGCGGCTCGGCGGCGACCGCTGGTGGGCAGCTTGGCTGCTGGGCTGCTCGGCGGCTCGGTCGCTGGGCGGCTGAGCGGTGACGGGGCCGCTAGGGCAGGGCGACGGGGCCGCAGGTGACGGCGACGGGGCCGCAGGTGGCGGTGACGGGGCCGCAGAGGGGTTGCAGAGGGGCCGTAGAGGGGCCGCAAGGGGCCTAGACGGGGCCGCAGAGGGGCCGCAAGGGGCCTAGACGGGGCCGCAGAGGGGCCGCAAGGGGCCTAGACGGGGCCGTAGAGGGGCCGCACGGGGCCTAGACGGGGCCGTAGAGGGGCCGCACGGGGCCTAGACGGGGCCGGAGAGGGGGCCGCAAGGGGCCTAGACGGGGCGGCGACGGGGCCGTAAGGGGCCTAGACGGGGCGGCGACGAGGCCGTAAGGGCGCCGCGAGGGGGGCCGACGGGCGTCGCGGGGGGGCCTCAAGGGGCCGTAAGGGCGGCGCAAGGGGCCGTAGAGGGCGGCGCGAGGGGCCGCGAGGGGCCGTAAGGGCGGCGTAAGGGGCCGTGAGAGGGGCCGCTAAAGACGACGCGAAGGGGCCGTGAGAGGGCGCGACGGTAGGGAGGGCACACAGAGCGCGACTCGGGCAGGAGCGAAGCGCGCTCCGGGTAGGAAAAAAATATCGTGGTGGGCCCTAGGAATCGTTCCCACTAGGGAACCTGCTCGATACCATGATAGGAAACGAGGAATGAATGCATTGAGCAGAATGAGGAGTACAAATAGTAAACCCTAAAGTGTTGTGCCCCATATGAATTGCCCCACTACAGCCTACACAGACTATAGCATATATGTCTGACACCTAGCAAGGCTGCTGGTCGACTGCCAGCGCAGCACGGTCGACCGCGTGCCAGCACTACTTGGTCGACCGCTCTCCAGCAGAGCAGAGTCGCGGCTTGCCAACGTTGCCAGTCCGCGGTGTGCCAACGCTGCAGTAAGTTGGCTGCACACCGTTGCATCCGCGGGACAACGGTGCACCTGCTTCGTAGGTGTGTGCAGCTGGTTGGCGCCCACCTTCCCGTCACATGCCTAGTGCAGACACTCCACCCGTGACGGCGCCCACCAGCCACGTCGACCTCGGGATACCACCCCCGAGGTCGTCCTCGCAGAAACCACCTCGGCGACCTTCGCCCACGTCGCCCGGGTATCCTGGTCGACCGGGTATCCCGCGGCCCCCGTGGCCCCTGGTCGTCGACCCGCGGCCACCGCGGTCCCCGTGGTCCACCCGCGGACCCGCGGTTCTCCCGCGGCCCCGCTGTTCTCCCGTGGTCCCGTGGTCCCGCGGTTCTCCCGCGGCCTCCCGCGGCCCCGCGGTTCTCCCGCGGTTCTAGGGGTCGGCTCCGCCCAAGCGAGGACGGGGCCAAACACTACTCCCGTTGACGCATACGCCCTAAGTGGGTGTTATATTGCGCGCTGGTCCATTTACAAGGAAATGGACCAGCGAATGCAAGGGGGCACCATTTTAGAGGGACCACTTCCAAAAGTGGTTCCGCGTCGTACCGGGGACCATTTGCAGCGGACCAGCTATGCATAGTGCATTGCACCTTCGAAAACGAAGTGTTGAGTAAAACAAAAGTGAACCTGGTCACGCTTGAGCAAGATGTCGCAGAGAGCAGATACTTTTGGCGAAACAATCAAAACGCAGTTTTCACATGCGATTCCCTCCGCCTTGGGTCGCTGTGGAAATGGTCCTGCGTGTCGAGCATCGTTTTCGCACGTGCGCCTCGCACTGTACATGCTGGTCCGTGGGCGGGTGCAAGTCGGGTCCACATCTGGGCCGTTCGTTGGTCCGCGCAAATGCCCCTGGGCCGCAGCGGCCCAGCACGGCCCAGCGTAGTTCTTGCGCACATGTTACACCCCCTAATTGAACTAGGGGGCCCCTAGTGTCAGGGTGGCCTTTTGTAGTGGGAGAGAAAAGAGGGTATAGGGGGTAGGAGCTCAAGCCCATCATGTTTAGAGAGTGTAAGATGTTTCTTCCCCAGGTTTCAGACCTCTAGCTGCGCCGAGTTTCCTCTGATGCCCATGTGCTTGTCAGCACTTTAAAGCCCAAAACCTGAATTGTTCGACGGAAGTCAACTGCAGGCAAAACTCTGGGGCGCGGCAGGCAAACTGTGCACAGTTTGCCCTCTTTTTTTGTAATTCAGGTTTTGGGTTTTAAGCAGCATTGCAAACTTTCATCGCCACAGCCATTTCTCACCAGCTGAGCACCTGCCGCTCTTGTTTGGTTCAGGACGGGTGAAGTGCTCGATCGGGTCACCGCACTGAAACCCCGCCTTTTGCATTTGAAAAGTACACAACCGTTAAAACCCGCGCTATAAAACGACCCTAAGGCGATCTATTCTCCACTTTACCGCGTCCTCAGGACCCCCGTAAACCTTGAAGCCGCAAGTCGTGCGAGAGTTCACGAGAGAACGCGAATCGGCCTGCCAGCAGCAAATGCCCTGTGCCACGGCTGCCACTGTGCCAGCCAGCCACGTCATTTCCTCCAAGCCGCAGCTAATAAGGCTCTACCCTCGTAGCCCTGTGTGTTCGGCCACCCAGCGCCGTCTGGTGGCGCGGCCATCGCAGCCCTGGCGTGCACCGCCGTGCACTGCCAGTGCCACGCGCGCACACTCTACCCGCACCTGCCGCTGCTCTAGCGGCAATGGATCCCTCTCAGCCCTCCCCCGCCGACGGCTCCTCGCGACCTGACGGCTCGTCGCTTGCCGCCGAGTCGAAGCATCCTTCGTCGCACGGCGCACCGTCGCAGGCGTCGCAGGGTGCACCGTCGCCGATGTCGCCGACGTCGCCAATGTCGGATATGCCGGCGATGTCGCTGCCAGTGCACGTGGTGACGGACGCCTCTCAGCTCCCGCACGAGCTGCTGCACCCGCCCGTGCCGCCCGCTCCGCCGCTCGTGATCGGATTTGATTGCGAGGGGATCGACCTGGCGCGGCACGGGCAGCTGTGCATTATGCAGGTGAGGGCGCGGTACGGGTGACTGCGAGGCACGAACGATTGTCCGACAGGTGAGCCGACTTCGGACTCTTATCGGACTCCAGTCAAGGCTCTCGTATTCATTGAACCGACTTGCGCTGCGTCGAACCTGCAAAAGAGTGGAAAGTGATGGTAGGAACACGCAGATGGGGGCTGAGACGCCACGGCCGCAATCGAGGTAGCAGGCAGCTCCATAACTCCACCTTCGTGTGCTGTTCCCAGGCAGCAGTCACGGGCGTTTCCACTCCACGCCGCACGCCGCCCCTTGCGTCGGCGTGGAAAGCTCATCCGGCATAGGGGGCCTCCTCCCTCGCGGCTCACGTCTCCATGCCTCCTGGCCCGGCATTGTGGCAGCGGGCGCTTTACTCCTTGGCCCCAGCGCCGCTGCCGCTTCTGCAATCGCAGCATCAACCGGGGCGCACGCTGGTGGCCAAGCCAACTCTTGACAAGCTGCTCCCCTTCCATCCCACAACCCCCAGTGTCTCTCTTCTCCCCTCCTACCTCTCCTCTCGTCTCTCTCCTTCCTCTCCTCCTCCCGCTCATCCACCCCTTCCCTCCAACCCCCGTCAACTACCTTCCCATTCGCCCCGCCTTCTTCCTATTCACCTTGTTCTAAAGCGCCTCCCGTCCCCCTCCCAAACAACCCCTCCCTTCCTCCGTGTCCGCATTCCCGCAAAACCCCCTCCCCCAACTTCCCCTTCTCCCCCCCCCCGCCCCCAGCTGGCGCTGCCCGGCGCCATCTACCTGGTGGACGTGGTTGCGGGCGGCCAGGCGCTGGTGCGCGCGTGCACGCCCGCCCTGGAGAGCGCACACGTCGTCAAGGCCATTCACGACTGCAAGCGCGATGGGGAGGTGCGGGGGGCGGGAGGGGGAGGGAGGGGGAGGGCAACTGGGAGGGGGGAGGGTAGGGAGAGGGAGGGAGGGGGAAGGTGTAGGAGAGTACGAAGGGGGAGAGGGGAAAGAAGAAGCGGAGACGGAATGGGTTGGGGAAGAAGAGAAGGGAAGGGTTACAAGGGATCGTGGAAGCAGAGCGTGAGGAAGAGTCATACAGCAGAGCCCACGCACGCAAGGCACGGCGGCAGGCAAGGTGGTGGGGGGCGAGGGATGATGGTCTGGAAGGGTGCACGTGGGAGGGAGGGAGTGATGTGACGGAGGTGTGTGGTAGGTAGCGGAAGACAGAGGCCGACAGAGGTGGGGGCGGACAAGGGCTGCATAAGGGCAGAGGGGGGAAGGTTTGCGTGCGAGGGGCGTTTGTGCTCGCGAGGAGCAGCAGGCGATGGATGGGGCTGTGGAAGGGTGCATATTGGAGCGATGTGGAGGTGCGTGGTAGGTAGAGGCAGGCACGGGTGGGGAGAGAGAGGGCAGTGAAGATGTGCTTAGGGAACGTGGTGGAGAAGAGACAATCGGGTGGGAAAATATATGGGGTGAACAGTGGTGGGAGATGGGAGAGTATACATGGGGGAAATCGAATCAGGGATTGAACGGGTTTATGAATCACATCAGCGATTCACTTGCAAGATCCGTGCCATGCCGCTTGCCCTCTCGCCCCATGCCTTTCCATTCAACACTGCTCCCCGTCTCACCTGCTATGCATGCCATCTCCCCCCCCCCCCTCGCGCGTATCACCTGGTGGCGTCCCCATGCAGGCTCTGTACTTCCAGTTTGGGGTGCGCCTGCAGGGCATCTTCGACACGCAGGTACCGCCGCTGCAACCTGCTGCCGTGCCTCTGCGTTACTCACACCTTGTTGGGTGCCATCGTGCTATGTCGGTCGGCTGCTCGCCTGCGACTAACACCTGTGCTTGGGGGGCAAGGGGGGGGGTATTGGTGCTCTTCTTGTGTTCCACACAGCCCACCCGGCTCGTGCTGTGCTGTGCTGCAATCCTCACCTGAGTTCTGCAGCTGTCTCTGTTCCTCGCACCAGCTCGTCTCATCTTAGCTTTACCCCATCCCATCCCACCGTGCCCCCTCTCCCTCGTCACGGGAATGATTTCTCCGTTTTCCCCTGCCGATCTTTGCACGACTCTCCTCCATTCACACTCCGTCTCTTCTCTTACAAACCCGTCTCCTTTCTATTGTGTCCCCTTCTCTTTTTCCCCCAATGATCCCCCAGCACCCCCTCTATCTCCCCACCCGTCTCCTCCTCTCGTCCTCTCCCTTCCCCCCCGCGCTCCCCTGTCCCCTGGGCAGCTGGCGCATGCGATGATAGAGGAGGCGCGGGGCATGGCGGACGTGCAGTCGGACCAGATCTCCTTCGTGCAGCTCGCCAGCATGCCGCAGTACTGCGGTGCGCGCCCTCTCGCACCGCACCGCACCGCCGCTTGCACGCAGGGGGGGCTGCTTGCACGCAGGGGGGGCTGCTTGCACGCAGGGGGGGCTGCTTGCACGCAGGGGGTGGGGAGGGGGGGAAAGGGTGGAGTAGAGGGTATTGGATGGTGTGGGGGGAATGGAAGTGTAGAGGAGGGATGGTTAGGGAGGGCGGCTATGGAGGACAGAATGCTGTGCCACACATGCACACGGATGGCGCCACACAAGAGAGCCGCGGTTCATGTCTGTTGTGCATGTGCTGGGTGTGTGCGGTGTGTGTGTGGTGTGTGTGCGGCGTGTGTGCGGCGTGTGTGCGGTGTGTGTGCGGTGTGTGTGCGGTGTGTGTGTGGTGTGTGTGCGGTGTGTGTGCGGTGTGTGTGCAGTGTGTGTGTGGTGTTTCTGCGACGTGTGTGCGGCGTGTGTGCGGTGTGTGTGCGGTGTGTGTGCGGTGTGTGTGCGGTGTGTGTGCGGTGTGTGTGCGGTGCGTGTGCGGTGTGTATGCGGTGTGTGTGCGGCGTGTGTGCGGCGTGTGCGCGGTGTGTGTGCGGTGTGTGTGCGGTGTGTGTGCGGTGTGTGTGCGGTGTGTGTGCGGTGTGTGTGCGGTGTGTGTGCGGTGTGTGTGCGGTGTGTGTGCGGTGTGTGTGTGGGTGCAGGTGTGGCGTATGATGAGAAGGAGGAAGTGCGTCAGCTTATGAGACAGGTCAGTGCCCACACTCTTGCTGCCGCTCATCCTTGCATTCTGTGAGAATAGGAGTTAGGAATGAAGTTGATGACTTGATTGAGAATCATGGGGGTATACATAGTAATGGGGCTGGATGCTAACCTAGGGTGACATTATTGGACCCCAACCAAGAAGTTGGGTTGGGAGATTATTGGTGGGGTCCAATAATGTTGGCCAAATTGGGGTTGGGCCAACATTATTGGAGGGGGCCAATAATTCTACCCAACCTAACCTTTTGGGGTCCAATAATTGGACCAAGGTTGGGTTCCAACCTACAAACTGGGTTACCCCTATTTGTACACCCAAACTAAGTTTGGGTGCTTAACTCTAGCCTATCCTATAGTATATATGCAGGTTACAAGAGTAGAGGGATTCTAACACAACCCCTTAACCTGTAGAGATGCGGAAAGGCTTGAGGGAAGCAACCCGTGAATCAAAGCGCGCCTGGGGGGGCGAGGCCGATGAGGCGCAGAAGAGCAGAGTGCGCAGGGCGAAGAAGGGCTTTGGTAAAGATATCAGCCATGTTGTCTTCAGCAGCGATCTTGCGAACGGCAATGAGATTCTGTTGGACGAGTTCGCGGATGAAGAAATAGCGGAGCTCAATGTGTTTGGAGCGACCATGAAAGACGGGGTCCTGGGTGAGATGGATAGTGCTAGCGTTGTCACACCAGAGCGTGGGACAGCGATGGGGTGCACCAAGCTCTGCCAGAAGAAAGCAGAGCCAGCAGGACTCTTGCGCAGCCATGGTGCCAGCATAGAGCTCAGCTTCGCAGGAGGAGAGGGCGACGGCAGATGAGCGAGTGGAACGCCAGCTGATAAGCCCGCTGCCGAGCGCGAAACCATAGCCTTGTGAGGAGCGGCAGTCTGGCTGGGAGTCTGCCCAAGAGGAGTCGCTGAAGCCAGAGAGAAGGGGAGGGGAGGATCCACCCAATGTGAGGGCGTGAGCCTTGGTGCCACGGAGATAGCGGAGGACCCGCTTGGCGGCAGCCCAATGGTCCTCAGTGTGGCGGCCGGAGTCGACGAATCGAGCAAGGACGCTGATGGGGTAGGCGAGGTCGGGACGAGTGCACATCATCGCGTACATCAGCGACCCACCAAGCTCGGCATAGTGCCGGGAGGAGGTGGAGGGGGAGGTGGGTGGCGCAAGCTGGTGACCGAAGGGGAGGGGGGTGGAGACCGGTTTGGCCTACGCCATCTCGAACTTCTCCAAGACCTGGCCGATGTAGTGGGACTGGGAGAGGGTGATGGTGCGGGCGGATCGACCACGAGTGATAGCCATGCCGAGGTAGTTCTGCAGCGGACCAAGGTCCTTGCACTTGAGACGTTCCTGAAGTGACCGCTTCACTTGCTCCATGTCAGCCTTGGTGTCAGCGAGCAGGATCATGTCGTCAACGTAGACCGAGATGAAGAAGCGACGGGGGGAAGAGCGGATAAAGAGGCTGGCATCGGAGTGGGAGGCGGAGAAACCAAGGGACTGGAGAGTGGCAGACCGCTTCGCATGCCATTCTCGTGGTGCCTGCTTCAGACCGTAAATAGGTTGCCGAAGTTGCCAGACGGTGTTGTCAGGGAAAGCAGCATGAAACTCGGGAGGCCGGCGGAGGAAGATACGCTCGTGCAGTTCGCCTTGCAGGAATGCGTTGGAGACGTCTATGGAGTTAATCTCCATGTCGTCATGTGCACCAATGTCCATAAGGGTGCGTAGGGTGGCCTGCTTGACAGTGGGGGCAAATGTGAACCAATAGTCTTCAGCCCAGGTCTGGGTGAACCCCTTGGCAACGTAGCGGGCTTTGTAGACTGGTTCTTCCTCCCTCCCTGCTGCTGCTGCCGCCGCCGCCGCCGCCGCTGCCGCTGCTGCTGCTGCTGTTGCTGCTGCTGCTGTTGGGACAGAAGAGAAGGAGAGGGGGGAGGGGAGGAGGGAGGGGGGGCCACGGAGTGTGCAGGGGATGCAGGAGCAGTGGGATCGTAGATGTCGGCAGATGAATGTGGCGAAAGCGGAGGAGAGGTGGGAGAAGGGGTGCAGGAGGGAGGAGGGGAGGGAGCACAGTGTCGGTCCAGGTGAGAGGACGTGGAGGAAGAGGGAGGGGGTCTGGTGGTGAAGAGGAGTAATAGGGGGTGGTTTCGTGAAAGACGACGTCAATGCTGCGGATAAGGCGTCCAGAGGGAGGGTGAAGGAAGAGGTAGCTAGGCGAGTCGCAGTTGTGCCCGAGGTAGACACACTCGAGGGCGCGAGAAGCGAGCTTGCCGTGGGTGCGATCAGGTGGAGGGATAAGTACATACGCTTTGCAACCCCAGACACGGAGACCAGCAGCGTCAGGTTTGGTGCCTGACCAGAGTTCCGTGGGGGTGGTGGTAGTATGTTGAGGATGGGAGTGAAGGTTGAGGAGGAGGGCAGCATGGAGCAGAGCATAGCCCCAAAGGGAAGGAGGGGTGGAGGCGTGAGCAAGGAGACAGCGGGCAATCTTGGTGATTTCGCGAATCCTGCTCTCTGCGACACCATTCTGCTGCGGGGAGTGGGGAAGGGTGTGAGTCTGTTGAATGCCATGGGTGGTGCAGTAGTGGGAGAGAGTGCGATTGAGGAATTCGCCTCCCCCATCGGAGTGTAGGCGGCCGATGGGACGCTTGAAGTGGGCGCGGCTTTGCTCTGCCCAGTTGATGATCATGGTCGGCGCCCGGTCTTTCGTGTGTAGGAGGAAAATGGAGGAGTAGCGGCTGTGGTCGTCTACGAGGACCAGCATGTAGCGATGGCCCTGACGGGAACGAGTGGGGGAGGGTCCCCAGAGGTCCATATGGACTAGGTCAATTGGAGCGGGAGCAAAGGATGGGTGGCTGTGGTGGGGAGACTGTTTGAGTTTGCCGTGGATGCAGGAGGGGCATGGAGGGGCTGGAGAGGAAGGGAGGGGAGGGAGAGTGGGAGGGAGGCTGTGAAGGAGGCGAGAGGTGATGGCAGTGCGGAGAGCGGCGAAATTGGGGTGGCCGAGTCGGTGATGTAGCAGTACAGCGGGGTGGGAGAGATGATCGGAGGTGGAGGGGGTTGGAGTGAGGGAGGGTGAGAGAGGGGGAGGTGACTGCTGCTGCTGCTGCTGTTGCAGTTGCCCCTGCTGCGGCGGCTGCAGTTGCTGCTGCTGCTGCTGTTGCGGCCCCTACTGCTGCCCCTGCTGTGGCGGCTGCTGCTGCTGTCGCGGAGGTGAGGTAGGGGGATGGGGAGGGTTAGTGGAGGTGCCAGCACGAGTGGTGACATGGCAGAAGGATGGCCAAGGGGTGCGGAGAGTGTAGAGGCGAGTGCGGGGGCAGAGAGGAATGCGTAGAAGGAAGCGACCGGTGGCGGTGTGGTAGAGGTCACAGTAGGTGGCATTACCTGGATAGACAACAGTGATACCTGCATTTTGGATTTCACGGTGGGAGAGGAGGTTGTAACAGAGGGTGGGGATGTGGAGACCAGTTACCTTACCAGAGGGGAAGAGTGTGCTTCGAGGCGATCACCTACCTCTCTCATGCGTCCGACATAGTCAACTGCTCCGTCACAGGTGGCGAGGGTGATTGAAAAGTATTCTTGAAAGACGATGCCGACGGAACTGATATCTCGGCGCTCAAACATGGCATGGAGTTCTGCCCAGATGACCGAGGCATAGAGTTCCCGAGCCTGGAAGCGGCGCATGAGGGAGTCAGGGAGAGCACCAAGGAGAACGGTGCAGGCGCGGGTGTCAGCAGCTGTCCAGGCGATAAGTTTTGGGGTGAAGGCAGCCATGTCGTCTTTGTATTTGGCGACGATGGCGAGGTGAGCATTGCGGCCAGCAACCGCCTGGTCATAGGCGTCAACTGCTGCATCGTACTCGGCTTTGCGGATAAGGTATGCACGGCGGAGTAAGATGAAATCTGCATCAGCGGTGGCTTGGTCGGCGGTGAGCTGGAGGTCGGGTTCAAGAGGGGGATCGCCAGGAGAGGGAGGGAGAGGAGGAGTCCCGCGGGGTGGTCAGGTTCGGTGGGGGGGAGGGCATGGGGACGGTGGAGGATGACGTCAAGGACGCAGTAGGGGGGAACCCATGCGTCGGAGAGGACTCGTCGGATGCTGCCGACAAATGAGTGCCAGTTGACGGCGGATTTGTCCGCTGCGAGCTGCAGTTTATCGATGGAGGAGGTATCAATAGGAGGAGGGAGGGGGGAGGGGGAGGGGGAGGGTGTGGCGTTAGCCATGATGGACGGCTGCGGGCGGACCCGCAGTGGTCACGGAGGAGAGCGGCGCGGGCGGCAGCGGCTGGTGAGGCAGCGGCTGGCCGCGGCGGCGCTGGCGTAGAGGCGGCGTCGAGGCGGTGGAGCGGCGCGGGCGGCGGTGGCGGCTGGCGAGGCCGCGGCTGCGCTGGCGCGGAGGCGACGTTGAGGCCGCGGAGCGGCGCGGGCGGCGGCGGTTGACGGGGCCGCGGCGAGGCGGGCACGGAGGCGGCGTCGGGGCCGCGGAGGAGAGCGGCGCGGGCGGCAGCGACTGGCGAGGCCGCGGCTGCACTGGCGCGGAGGCGGCGTTGAGGCCGCGGAGGGGAGCGGCGCGAGCGGCGGCGGCTGGCGAGGCCGCGGCTACGCTGGCGCGGAGGCGGCGTCGAGGCCGCGGAGTGGCGCGGGCGGCGGCAGCTGGCGAGGCCGCGGCGAGGCGGGCGCGGAGGCGGCGTCGGGGCCGCGGAGAGGAGCCACGCGGGCGGTGGCGGCTGGCGAGGCCGCGGCTGCGCTGGCGCGGAGGCGGCGTCGAGGCCGCGGAGGGGATCGGCGCGGGCGGCAGCGGCTGGCGAGGCCGCGGCTGCACTGGCGCGGAGGCGGCGTCGAGGCCGCGGAGTGGCGCAGGCGGCGGCGGCTGGCGAGGCCGCGGCGAGGCGGGCGCGGAGGCGGAGTCGGGGTCGCGGAGGGGAGCGGCGCGGGCGGCGGCGGCTGGCGAGGCCGCGGCTGTGCTGGCGCGGAGGCGGCGTCGAGGCCGCGGAGGGGAGCGGCGCGGGCTGCGGCTGGCGAGGCCGCGGCTGCGCTGGCGCGGAGGCGGCGTCGAGGCTGCGGAGTGGCGCGGGCGGCAGCGGCTGGGAGGCCGCGGCGAAGCGGGCGCGGAGGCGGCGAGAAGGCCGCGGAAGGGAGCGGCGCGGGCCGCAGCGGCTAGGGAGGCCGCGGAGCTGTGGAGGGAAAGGGCGCTAAAGGGGGGGAGAGCGGCAGGATAGCTACGAGGAAAAAATGAGGGAGGAGGCCGGGGGTTGCGGCGGCCGGGTGGGCCTTTGAAACGAGTGGAGTAGGCCTAGGATTGATAGCTCTATCCCATGTGAGAATAGGAGTTAGGAATGAAGTTGATGACTTGATTGAGAATCATGGGGGTATACATAGTAATGGGGTTGGATGCTAACCTAAGGTGACATTATTGGACCCCAACCAAGAAGTTGGGTTGGGAGATTATTGGTGGGGTCCAATAATGTTGGCCAAGTTGGGGTTGGGCCAACATTATTGGAGGGGGCCAATAATTCTACCCAACCCAACCTCTTGGGGTCCAATAATTGGACCAAGGTTGGGTTCCAACCTACAAACTGGGTTACCCCTGTTTGTACACCCAAACTAAGTTTGGGTGCTTAACTCTAGCCTATCCTATAGTATATATGCAGGTTACAAGAGTAGAGGGATTCTAACACATTCCTCTTTGCACAACCACAGTCGTGTCACCTTCCCTCCGTGTCTTTCCAAGTGTCAGCCTGCTTGCTATGGACCCGCTTCCCTTTTTCTCTCCCCCTCCTTCCCCTTTCCTCTCACACCCACATATGTCCACCCTCCGTCGCCTGTGTGCGCGTGCCCCTGCTGGTGCATTATCACGTGTGTGCGAAAGGGGGGGGGGGAGGGGGGGGGGGGAAAGAGGAATGTGTGACTTGCAAATATAACCATGTGCCCATGCACCTTCACTGCCGTCCCTCCATCCCTCCCTCTCTCCTTTCCTCCTTCTCTCCTTTGCTCTCCACTCCCCCCTCCTCCCTTGCTCCTTCGCTTACTCCCTCCTTCCAACCCCAACCCCCCCTTCTCCTCGTTCCCGTGGTCGCCCTTCCCGTCCATCCCCCTCGCAGGACCCCACGTTCTGGAAGCACAGGCCGTGGACGGCAGTGATGCTGCGCGCCGCAGCGGACGACGTGCGCTTCCTGCCCGCCATCCACCGCCGCATGCACGCGCTGCTGCTCGCCAGCCCCAATGGCCCAAACAAGTTGCGCCAGCTGGCGGTGCAGAGCGAGCTGCATGCGCGGTGCTTCTGCCTGGGCGCGCATGACTGGCCCGCTCCCACGCCCTGGCAGGATGACGGGCTTGTGCGTGCTGAGGAGGTGGGAGGGGAGGGGGTGTGGGGGGGGGGGGGGGGGGGTGGGGGGGGGGTTATGGGGTGCGGAGGAGGGGGGGAATGTAGGAAGGATGGGAAGGGAGAATGTGGAGGGAGGGGATTGGAGTAATGGAAGATCGGAAGTGGGTGCGCTGGGTGCTGAAACTTCTGGAGTTCTCCCATTGTTTGGTGCGAATCGTTAGAGACCGGCTGTGGCTCATTATTCTCTCTGTGTTTGTGTGAGTGGACGGTGGGGGGAACGAGGTGGGGTCATGGCTGCGTGTGTGCGTATGTGTGTCTCACGCGTGTATGGGTGCATGGGTGCATGGGATGCAACAGGTTGTGGAGAACAGTAGCAGTGCAGGAGCGGAGGCGGGGCAGGCAGAGCCGATAGAGGAGATCTTGTCAGTGGTGGATGTGCCACAGGGGCTCATGGGACTGGTCATTGGCAGGAAGGGCATGACCATCCGCTCCATCAAGGAGTCTTGCAAGTAACCATCCGCGCTGCTCCTCTCACTCCCTCTTTCCACCCCTGTTCTCTCTCTTATTCACAATAGCAACATCTCCGTTTCCGGTCAATAGCATGCTTCCTTGCGTCCCATCCCCTCTCCATCTGTTTCACACTCCCTTTTCCACACACGCGCACCTCCTTCTGCACAAGCACCACCTTGTCTGGTAAGCGCAGCACACTCATCACCCCACACCTCTCATCCTCTGCGTCGTGCACCCTCCCCCCTCTCCCCCAACAGAGCGCACATCGTTCTGGGAGGACAGAAGGGCCCTCCAGACAAGGTGGGTGTCTTCCTTTTGATCCCAGCCATCCACTTTTCCTCGTTTCTCCATGCTGCGCATTGCTCTTGCTCTCAGTCACATTTCGCCCAAAGTTTCTGAACTCCAACCCCCAGTTCACCTGTCCTGCCTAAGCTGCGCCCTCCTCACCACTTTGTCCTCCCCCTGACCCAACCCGTGTGTGTGGCGTGTGCGGGTGTGCATGGGCGGCAGGTGTTCATCATCGGGCCAGTGAGGGAGGTGCGCAAGGCAGAGGCCATCATCCGCGGCAAGGTGGCACGCTGACCATGCAGACACACCCACGGGCGTGGACGGGTGGAGCAAGGGTTTGTTGCAATGCGAGGCCATTTGGTGAAGAGCACAGCACATGGGGCAGTGGAGAGGAGAGAAGCACCCACTGGATTGGTTGCATCTGAAGCGAGCACATGTTCATTGCATGAGGGCGTATTACGAGCGAGCCATGCTATGCGCTGCAGCATCTAGATAGCGCACTCTAGTCATGCGATGTACAAGATGTGAGGTGAGTGACAGGGGGCAGTGCAGCTGGCATCAGAGCAAGCACGTCCAGGCAGGGAAGTCGCGATACTGATGCACCGGCCTCAATTCATGGGTTTCTTTCATCTGGTTGCCCCAAGCACATGACCTCAGCTGGAGCCTGGAGGCATGGTTGGGTGCGTGAGCGCAAGGGACCACCATGTGTGATGTAGGGCTGTGACTCTGCATGGCTGTGGGGAAGTTGTCATGGTAGTATTATTTTATCACTTGGGACTTGGGAGGGATTTTTAGACAGCAGCAGCAAGGTGGAGGACTCCATCCACCCTGGCCAGGGTGGCTATTGATTAGAGATAGCAGCTTAGCCAGTTATTCATTACATTCTCAGTATAAAGCACTGCTTTGATAGGACTGAGAGACCACTATTACCGGTACAGCAGGCACATCTATCCAAACTCAACCCAGGCTAGAACCAGCACCATAATCCACCACAGCATATCGATGAAGCAAAGGCCCAGCAACAGCCAAGGCCAAAATATAGCCACCTGTCCCCCCCGCTCATTCCCCCAGCCCCTAGCAATGACCCCCCCCCACAAGACAAAGCAGCTAGCCATCCCACATAAGATGAAGGGCTGAGCATGTGTCAATCGGAAGATGCACCGTTCCCGCTTGCGCCATCCACAGGGCTCAGAATGCCTTCCCTGCCCGCCCCATGTGCGGGCTGTGCGGGCTTCGCAGGGGGAGCCGCACCACCTCCGCCTGCAGCGGCGGCATCAACGTCACCAGCAGGCTCGCCCGCGGTCGCTCCAGTGCCGCCCGGCGCAGCGGGAGGTGCCTTGCCTGGCGCGGGAGTGGCGGCAGGTGGTTTGGCAGAGCCAGCGAGCGTCTTTCTGACGGCGGCCGCCATGGTGCTCACGCGCTCCGCTACCCCCTTCGCCGCCGACGTGATCGCGGCGCCGATGCTCCTCAGCCCGCTGCTCACGCGCTCCAGGATACTCTGCTCCTTTGCCTTACTCTGACCCGGCTTCTCCGCCGTTTTCTCCGGTGCGCCGTTTTCTCCGGTGCTCTGGGCTCGGTTCTTCGCGCTGTTCCCCGCCTCGAGCTTGCTCTCAGCCCCTCCCGCCTGCAGCACAGGGGGCGCGGTGACGCTCGTGGCGGGCTAGCGCGGGGGAGCAAGACGGAAGAGAGAGCAAGCATTAAGCGCGAGAGGTGATGGCTGAAGAGGAGTGTGGGGGAAGGCGGGTGCGAGAGGGGTTGGTGGTGAGCGAGCAACGTGGCACTCAAGAGAAAAGCGAGAGGGAACGAAAGCGGGAAAAGGAGAAAGAGAGAGAGAGGGTGGACGCAGTCGGGGTTGGAGCGGAAGAGGATGAGCGACCTACTGCGCGAATGTCACTCGACTCCCCCTTGAGCGACCTGCCAGGACGTGCCGCCGTGGCTGGGAGCAGGGCCGCGAGAAAGACGCAAGAGAAAAGGAGGAGGACGCGAAGGAAATTCATGGTTGTGCGGAAATGTAAGGAGCTCAATCGCGAACAGCTGGAGTTGAAAAACAACTAACCACACACACTAGCAGCACCCGGGCTTCGCTCAATTGTGAACCCGTGGCGAATTGGGTTTTGCTTTCTGCAAACACGATCTGGCGCGGGAGCTTGCAGGAGAGGACGAGCAATTATGGCGAGGGAACGGAAGATGGGAGACGAATCGCGCACTTATTGATCATCCCCGCCGTGAACTGCGGTGGCGAATGTCAAGCCCCTCCAACAAATTTGGCAAGCTGGAAGGGAAACGAAAGAAGGTATATATACGGTCCGCAGGTATATATTACGGTACACAGGATGCTTAGTGTTTTTTTTTTTTTTGCTTATATATGCTATACACCAGTACAGAAGCGTATATCACATAAACAGTCGTAACTGTACGTGAGAAGCAGGATGCCTGCCTCCGAGAAATCCGATCCTTACATGTGGATCCGGGGCCTGTGTGGCTTGCCCCAAATTGCTGCGAATTTGGCCGACCACCGCCAGCCCTTGCCCTCCACCACCCTGATGCGGTTCAGAAGACACTGTTCCTGATTCGTCATCACGTGCCATCTGGCTTGCTGCACCTTCCCCTTCTGTTGCAGCTTTCCCGCTGAGGCACGCACGTAAATGTTGACATGCATGCGCAGAGCAGTTTCAATCCTCCGCAGTACCCGCCTCGTGCGAAATTTACATCCGCGAAAGGCCCCTTCACACCTCTCCACCCATAGTTGATGCAAAGCGATAGAGATCAGAGTCGCCTCGGGGAATGCTGACGTGGAGTTTGCCTTTCCGAACAGCCAGTCCCCCAGCGATTCCGCCCGCCTGCCAGGATTAATCATGCGCAGGGCCTTCTTCACTGCTGCAACCACCACCCGGATCTTTGGGCACTCAGAAAAACAGTGCTCCAATGTTTCAAAGACCCCACAGAAAGGACACACCGGCCCACTGCTGAGAAAGGGGAGTCTCTCCCCGACTTGCAGATTCAGACTGTGGATTCTTAGCAAAACATCCCTTGGCCTGCTGGGGGTGACTAGCGATTCCCGGGTTTTAACTGCCCGCTTCCAGTCTATACGACCGCTCCATCTGTCCTCCCACTTTTTCCGCCTGGACTGCCCGCTGCTGCCATGCCCCTAACAGGACCTGAGCGACTTCATCGGCGCAACCTCCCCCTTCACCAGGAATTTGTTGCGCAACTGCTTTGACCCCTCTCTCCCTGCCACATACACCTCTGCAAAGCCCATCTGCGGTAACTCAGCTGAGAGAAGCAATCCCCTCCAAGCTTCTGGTGCTGCAGCAAAGGCCTCCAGTGCCAGCTTCGCAGCCTCCATCCCCAGCAGCTCCCTCTCCAGAGTGACCAGGTCCTTTAGCGTGCCCCTCCCCTCCTCATCTTTCCGGATCAGATCCCCCAGCCTTACTTCTCGCAGCCGTTTCGCCGCCTTTTGTCCCCCAAATGGCGTGGAGCCTTTCCGAAGAATGTGTCTGTTAAACACAATTCTCTCCAGCCCCACCTCCTCTTTGCTTCGCTCTGCCCCTGTCACCGCCAGAGGAGAACGCATGAAGTTTTCACATGCCAACTTCCACCGCTGGCTCTTCCCCTCCCAAACTTTCAGAAGCTTCTCGTGCGACATAAAGGTATCGAGCCCCAGTGGTAAGTCTGCTGCCTGCCGTAGCAAATTCCGTTTTAGCTGACTGGACTCGTTGAGTATCAACCCAATCCTCCTGGCTGTGAAGCAGGTAAGCATAGCTTATGGGTCTTTTGCCCCCACACCTCCTTCCAACACCGGCGTGTACAGCAGCTCCTTACTCCATAGGAAGAAACATTTCTCCGTTGTAACCTTGTTGGCTGACATGAAAGTGTGCGACAGCTTCGTTATAACCCCCCAGGTCCGAGCAGGCGGCGGGTACACCTGGGCCTGCGACCAGGCTATCGGCATGATGTAACCATCCATCACAGCTCTCCTTGCTTTAATCGGCAGATACTGCGGCTGCCACAGGGACATCTTCCCCACAATCCTCTCCAGGGCCTTGTCCCAGGTCGGCTGGCAGCTTCCGCTGGGCGTGACCCAGATACCAAGAAGCTTTTCAGCCTCATCCGCACCTGCCCATCTGAAGCCATCTGTGCGCCAGGTCTTTTTGCCAAGGTTAACTCCTAGCGGAAGCACCACCGATTTATCTTTATTCGTCGCCAACCCAGAGATGTTCTTGAACTCCTCCAGTACTTCCTCCGCTTTGACGATTTGCTGTTTTCCCTGAAGTAGGAGAGTAGTATCATCGGCATAACCGACGTAAGCCAGCCGTTGCTCAGTACAACCCCTGATGGTAATTCCCAACTTCTTCTTTTCCACCAGCTGCACCAGAGGTTCCACCGCACAGAGAAACAAGTAAGGGGCGATGGGACACCCCTGCCGGACTCCTGATACCACATCCACTGCTTCCCCCATCCATCCGTTAACTAATAAACTTGTGCGCGTGTTGTCGTGCAGTCCTTTCACCCACCCGACAAAACGCTCCGGAAAGCCCATCTTCTTAAGGACCTCAAAGGTGAAGTCCCGGGAAACTGAGTCAAAGGCTTTCCTGAAGTCGACCAGCAGCATATACCAGTCCTCCATGCCATTCTTTGCCGCGTCGATGACATCCGCTACAAGCCCCACCGCATCCGACACCCTTCTCCCCGGTATGAAGCCAAACTGCTCCTCCGAGATGACTTTGTGAAGCACCTTTTTAATTCTGCTCGCCAGCACCCTTGCCAGTACTTTGTAACTGAAGTTCAGCAAGGTTATCGGTCGGTAGTTCTCTAACTGCTCTTTTGCTCCCTTTTTATGCAGAAGAATGGTTACAGCGTCCTTAACGCTAGTCGGGAGCGACGATGAGGAGGTGAAGCTCTGTACCAGCTCCATGAGGTGTTTCCCCAGTACGTCCCAATGTTGCTCAAAAAGTTCCTTCGGTAGCCCATCCTTCCCCGGAGATTTATTGTCAGCCATCTCCTTGAGAGCACGCTTCACCTCTGCTTCTGTCCAGTCCTCCTCCAAACACTCCGCCTCCGAGAACCAAAGCCTTTTCCCCGCTGCTGGAACCCAGTTTGAGAGTGCCGTCCTCTTATCCTCCCCAAAGAGACCGCTGTAGTATTCAGATGCCGCCTTCAAAATCTCTTTTGGCTCAGTTACCACCCCCCCGGGAACCGCCAGCTCCGTTATCTGTGTCTTAACCCTCCGCATCTTAATCCTCGCTGAGAGGTGAGGAGACGGGATTTCACCGACTAGCTCCTTGGCCATTCCCGCCATAAGGTGATTCCTCTCTCGCCGACATGCGTGATACTCTTTTAACTGCCGCTCCGCCTTCCTTAATCTCTCTTTTAGCAGTTGATCTTTTGGGTTGCACATGAATTCTTGCGCCAACCCTGCGACCATTGATGAAAGGTGATTGATCGTCGCCCTCATCCTTTTGCTCTCCTCCTTGGAGTAACGACGAAGGCTGATATTCAGGCGAGATATCAGAACCTCAAAATCACCGCCTTTTTGTGCAACCTGCCCCTCCACCTCTTCCGTAAGCTTACGGACACCTGGTCTGTGCAGCATGGATGGGTGCATGCGCCATAGCCCCGGGCCCGTGCGCAGCTGCGATTTGATCTTGAAGGCGATGCGAATGGCGAAGCCGTGGTCAGAGACTGGCTCCTCAGGTTTGACATGAGAGGCGGATATGAGACGCGGAAGCAGGGACTGAGAGACCAACGCTCGATCAATCCGAGTGCTTTCCTGGTGTACCTGCGAGAAGAAGGTGAACTCGCGCTTGAAAGGGTAAAGAGAGCGGAATGCATCAGTAATGTCAAAGTCCTTGCATCTCTGGGAGAGAGAGTCGTTTTCCTTTGACGATCCTTGCTTCGAAGTCTTATCTAACACTGGGTTCTCGACTATGTTGAGGTCTCCTATAATGAGCAGGTGGGATCCGCGCGGGATGAGGTCAACCGTGGGTCCTAGTACTGTCTTGATGAATGCTCTACGCAAGGCCTTGTCCGACGGGAAGTATACCGCGAGCAGGGTGAGGCTCAGGCTGGCACACTGGATCTCAGTCTTCACTAATCTACCTGAAGGATGCGCTAGCGGATTGTGGAAGGAGAGGTCGGTCCTGCGGCTAAGGATCGCTACACCCCCAGCTCGAGTAATCGGAGTGGTAGCAGCAAAGGAGGTGAGATTAAGGGTGGACCAATAAGGGTGGTCTAAGGCTATCCTAGTGTCTGAGAGTATCATCACATCTGCCGCTTTCGTACTGTAAGTCCAGTCAGTTGTTCGTTTCCGTTTGTTACTGTCACCCAGGCCGTTGACGTTCAGGCCCGCAAAGGAGAGGGTGTTCCGTGTATTCATTTAATCACAGCTTGATCACCTCTACGCATCCACAGGCAGGTAAAGCAAAGTACAGCAACCACCGACCATCCGACTGCTACTGCCGCTGAGACTCGAGTCACAAACTCTAAATCTCGTACTCCTTGCGAATCCCCTTCAGGTTCACTGTCCCCAGGGTAGCACGCGTGACAGCACCTATCTCCTCCTGACCGTGAAGGTGTCGAGCCGAGGTGATATGTTCTGCAGCAGCAACAAACAGCTTTCCGTGCGCCTTTCCGCAGCTCAGCTGTGTGCATATCCACTCCTCCCTGGTATTTCCAGTGGAAATCAGCACAATCGCAGGATCCAGGAGGATCGGACGTGTTAGGCGTGATGCCAGCAGGGACGCAGCTGCGACAGGCGGCCAATGGGTCAGTACCAGGAGAGGACAGGAGGTAAGAGCAATCAGCTGAGAACATTACTGCTCCGTTACCATTGATTCTATGCACCCGGCTCAAACTCAAGTCCCACTTCCCTATGTTATTCTGTCGCTCTGTGACGAAGACATCATGATGCTTGTCATAATGCCACCCCCCACAGAGCTGACAGGAGAGCATGGGGTAGTGAACCAGGAGCTTCTTGCCGTGCTCCAGAGGATGACTGATCTAGTGAATATGGCGACGCTTCTTCTCCTCCGTATGTGGAATAACCAAGCCCTTGATCACGTCCGTGTCAGCTCCAGAAACCGGATGAAGCACACGGTGAAAGCAGTGTCCTTCAAGGAACGGTGTGACCTGTCGAATCTTCAGCTTGTGTTTTGTCAGCATCTCTTCCAACCCTTCCGGAGTGATATTCGCAGGAACACCTTTAAAGAGAACTTCGAGCGCACGCGCGTTGGACGCCTTAAATCGAATGAAGGCCGCATTCTCAGCATGCAGCCAGTGGAGCTTGTGAGTGACACTGCTGTTCGCACGCTGGTATTCCAATGTCGCCTGACGCACATTAACTGCATCTTCTTCCTTCAGGAATGATAACTGAAGCCGGCTGTACTTCGTCTTTGCAACATAAGCCGGGAACAGGTCCTGACAACCCACATGGGTGTTAGCTCCGTCACATGGGTGTCATAAGCTACAGCTTTGAATTCGCGTTATCGCGACGAAGCGAATGGTACACTTATTATGTCCATCAGGCGGACATCGTAACTATTGCTTCTCGGGATCTGCTGTCAAGCTTCCAAGGTTTCATCAGCCATGAGGCAACGCATTCAGCATTATCGAAGATTATCCACTGGTTGTGTCAGGAATCTAACGCGCAGGACGAGGATTGGTTATTCATATTACAATATACTACCAAGGCCCATGGACATCATCCCTTGGTTGCGTCAGCTGGAATACAGCATATGTGTCAAGAAGACTCAACAGCTAATGGGGACATGCGGTCTCTACTTAAGAAGATGCTCAGACACCCAGCGTATCAGGCATTTCTGGCCTTTTGTCTTACAACACTGCTGGTCTACGATCATCATTGCACCATGCCGCGTGCTCCGCCTAAAGGGAGAGTGCCTTCGACGAAGAAGCAGACTGATGCCATGGAGGATCCACCGCTACCTGCAGACAAAGGCAAAGAGAAAGTGGTTGAGGAGGATGCTGCTGTGACCATCCATACGGAAGGGAGCAGCTCTGGTCTGTCCCTGGAGGAGAAACTTGCTGCGCTTACCTCTGCTCATGCTGACGCTGATGACTTCACGGATGATGACTCCGACGACGAGCTTGAGTTTGATGTCACAAAAGACCTCGTCGCCAAGCAGCGCTTCACGGCCATCCTGCTGATCCCGTTCATCCTGCAGCAGGAAATGGCGAATGTTATTCTGACCGTGCGAATGTTGTTAAAGCGTGTTTGGTCTACAGGATGCTTAGTGTGCAACACTATTTCGGCTGCTCGCCAACGTTCGCTACGGGCAAAATCGGGACTCTAGTGGGCAGGTGAGAAAATGTAACCAGCTTCTTTTAAATATCTCACGAACGGACGGATGCAGCGTGATAAGCTGTTTGTTCAACGGCTGCGATCAAAATAGGGGCTTGTATCGTGCGTGCATCTTGCTTGTACTACTTGCAATTGGGCAGGCTGTCGAGCTAGAACTGACCAAACTCGCGTGCAATCGTTGAGCATCCTGTGTAATGTTATGAGTTGTACTCAAGAGTTCTCTAAATCTATGAAGAGACTTTGATTACGTAAGCTGAGAATACAATGGAACGAGCATTTACAGGGCGAAACGTGCTAGGCGAGAACCTCGGGACGTGCGAGGGCTGGGAGTGTCGCGATTGGTTCGGGGCGACTCGGAATGTAGTTCGGCCCTGTTACGAATAACAATGAATGAGGATTACAGTGCACTCCCGACCTCAGCTAAGGAAGCATGCAGTATCACGAATATGAAGAGTCAGAATTGACTCGAAGCGTCAGACGGTTGGGATGCATCTGGCCCGTAGGAGCAGACGGCATTGGGCAGTTGCAGGCAAGAGAGATTCTGGTGGGAACAGTTTCGTAACTGTACGCGCCACACGGTTGGGAATGAATTTGAATAAGGGAATGTATATCATTGTATTTGCATGTTTTATCATCTCAAGCATTTTACATTCACTCTGCTATTGAGGTCAAGGGCCCACCACCACTAGACGAGAAATGTGCAAACCTTCCTCAGGTGATCCTGGTTACGATCTACTTCTGATCGCAACATGGTATGAGAGCGACTCAGGAATCTTTCGCACTGCCACTCCCGAGAATTACGACATTCGGAAAGTGGCGTCCGGCACACGCTCGCGTGTAAGAATGGCCGGAGGATCTGGCGGTCAGACGAATCTGACAGCTGAAGCGCAACCCAATCCGGCTACGACAAGTGAGGAAACGACGACGATCGGAACCGAAGTCCTCGCACAACTTCTTCAGCAACTCACTTGCCTGGAGCAAGGTCTCCAAACATTGCGGAACGGCGATGCGGGAACATCCTCGCAACCCTCTCAACTAGCCCCAACCGGCCAAAACGCCGCCCCGCACACATTCTCCCTCGACACAAATGGTTCAACCCCCAAGACTCCCCCATCCCAGTGAAGAGGCAATTCTCTCTGCGCAATCAAGGTTTTTCAGCATATCAAAAACAAAGACAAGCGTGTGTTTTGATGGCAGAGACTTCTATTCCTGGAGCTTCGAGCTGGAGCTCCTGATGCAGAACGCTCAGATTTTTCAATATTTCGACGAGAGTTACGCGGAGCCCACTGAGGACACCGACGACGCCAAAATGGCCCCAAGGGAGATGGCCAACAGCTACATCAATCGCTGTCGGAGCCTTCGCGACCAAATCGCGAAGGTAGGGAGCTCGATCTCGGAAGAAATCTTCGTTATTATCGTGCTTCAAGGGCTCGGCCCAGAGTGGCGACCCTACAAGGCACTTCTCCGACAGCAAGGGGTCATCTCGGAGGCCGCCCTTTGCGGCGCCTTTCTCGTCGAACAAAAGGATATGGATCAGCAGCGACCAGCGCCACGACGAGAACGAGAACGTCTCTCATTCTACGTCGACAACAACGAAGAGCGAAGACCGCGGCGCCTCTACTGCAAAATCTGCAGAAACTTCGGGCATTTGGCGAATCGATGCAAGTCCCGATCTCGCCCTCGCCAGACCAATCCGAGTAACTGGTCCGGCCGACAAGACGCACGAGGCGACGTGCGTCCAGCTCAGGGGTATCAACCCCCACCCGCGCGCAACCAGAACCCGGCAGTTCATCATCAGCAGCAGCAGCTGTCATCGACTGTCAAACTTATATTCTATGTTTTAGTCTGTGTAGGCTATAGTGGGGTAGACAATATGGGGTGCAACACTTCTAGGTTTTCGTACTTGTACCCACCTC